TGTCTGTTGAAAGACGTGTACAATAAATACAGGCTGAAAAAAGTAACTGCTATAGTTAGACAGACGGAGTGGAAAACGAACCATCGAATTCAAACGATTCCCGTTAGGGTTGTACTGTTGAATTCGAAACGGTGTGAATTATGACCGTCAAATTAAATTAATCACAACCGTTGAGATTTATTTTTGCTCTAAGGTATATATAGTCATATTTCTGTAAAAAGAGTTTTACTCTCATTATATTTTCTTACGAAATTGTTGTCAAAACTCTATTGTGTTCTTCCTACCCCTGAACTGTTGCATCCTTTATGGACTTCTACATCAAGTTTTCAAGACCGAGATCAAGTAATGTATGGGTTTTGGTGATTTGGATTTTTGAGTGTGTTTTCTTCTACTCTCATCCTTTCTAATTTAGATCTAAGTCTTTTGAAGGAAGGTAGGTTTAGAAGTGAGAGTGACGGTGAGTGTGAGTTAGAATTTCTAAAAATTTGATTTTATTTTCTTCTTCCCCCCTCTGTATTCCATGCAGTGAAAGTTACAAACTTTGAAGAGATGTCTTCTGAAGAAACGGTGAGCGTTGGGGGAAGTGAGGAAGTGAGGGCGTTGGAATATGGGGATGTGAGTATGACCAGTGAGTCGTTTGACTCGGAGAGGACGAAGGAGGGGGTGGGGAGAAGTGAGCTAGTTGGGGTAGAAGGAGATAGGATACCCATTACTATAGTAGAAGTGGAGGGTAGGAGGGAAAGATGTTATGATGTAGATGCAGATATTGTAGCTGAGGTGAAGCAGTATGAGTCTGAGCTCGGGACCAAGGATAGCCTAGGTTATTTAGTGGAAAGTTATGAAATTTCTTCTCGAGTTCTGATTAGGCCTATTGGGGTAGAGGAAGGGGCCTGTTCTGCACCTTGGGATCATTGGATGCCTGTGTATGCCCATTATTTGGCAGCTGGGCTTAGGTTTCCAATGCTTGAGTTGTTTGTGGGTCTATTATTAGATTATAGTATAGGGTTGACACAATTAGTCCCCAACGCTATGAGAGTAATAATAGGATTTTTAGTTTATTGCCAAACTTAGGGGGTTAATGTGCCAACTGTAAATATGTTTAAATATTTTTTTGTTCTAAAGGAGGTAGTAGAAAGGACAAGGGGTGGTATTATTTCACCCCTAGAGTGTCAAATAGAGAGAGTAGGGGCTTATTTACAACAAGTACTTCATCCATTAAAGGATGGAAGGAAAAATTTTTCTTTGTAGATGACACTGAGTGGGAAAGGAGGGATGCTGAGGTAGAATTGTTGTCATCTTGGAAAGCTAAGAAAGCCAACCAAAATAAGTATAGTTTAAATGAGGATGAAGAAGAAGAGGTGGGGAAGCTAGTGAAGGAGGGGGGTAAGTTAGCTAATATAATGTACCTCACCAGTGCAGAATGTATAGAGGCTGTTGAGCTCTATGGGCCAAGCACTTTGAGTGAAGGTGTGTTTAGATTTTATATTGTAGTGTTTAATGTAGAGCATAGAGTTGTGTGGTTGACACTTTGTTTTAATTATTTTGCAACTAAAATGGATAAGTTCTTGAATGCTGCTGGGGGGGTGGCTATTCCCAAGAAGCCGAGGGAGAAGTCAAAGACTTCAACCAAGGAAGCGGGGGAGGGAAGAGCTGGGAAGGAGTTAGTGCCCAGCACCTCAGCTGGAGTGGAAGAGGTGGTGCCAAGGTTGGAGCTGAAAAGGAAAGGCAGTGAGAAGGTGGGAGCACTGCAAAGGAAGAAAAAGGTGGTGGAGGAGGAGGTGAGGGGGAGCAAGGTTCTACAGTTCGTACCTCAACCTCCTCCTGTTGAGCTCGATCCTGAGCTCAGGGAGTCTGAGGCTGAGGGGCCTGAGGCACGGGCTCCTGGTAAAAGGAAGGGCCTCGTTCGTCCATTGTCCTTTCAAAGCAGTTTGTTTGAGGCGAAGAACGCGACGGGGGCAAGGAGGTTTATCAATGCAACCTTCCCCGAAGTGGACAAGCATCAAGCAAAGGACGAAGCTCTAAGATAGTGTAGGGCAACTGTGGTGAAGCATGCCCTGGAGGTATGCTAAGTTGATTTGTTTGTAGATGTTGGTGTTTTTTTTTTTTTTTTTTTTTTTACTTGTGCTTGAATTGCAGAGTGCGTGCTGGGTGAATGGTCTAACCCAGGAGTTCATGGAGAGTGTGAAGGATCTCTCCCTCTTGCAAAGGCAGTGTTACCAGCTGCAGAAGGAGAAGGAAGAGCTAAAAAAGAAAAATAAAGACATGCAAGAGGCACTAGACGAGGTGGTACCAACAGTGAAGTAGCTTGAGCAGGAGAGGGATTCTCTGAGTACCAAGCTCGTCTTTGAGGAGAAAAAACAAAAAATCTCTGAAAGCGAGCGTGAGGCTTAGGAGAAAGAAATAAAAGCAATGAAGGAAGCTGTGGTGGAACTGAAGAAGAATGTGCAGCTACTAGTACACAATAGGATGGAGGAACACATCAGCAACTTCATCAACTCCAGCTCGTTTGACAACATCGTCAACCTCTACCGGCTGCCCACTATTATTCTTGCCTTCACTGACTGCAGAAAGAAGGTGAAAGCTGAATATCCTGAAGTGGATATTATGAAGATCACCTTCGGCGAACAAGAGCAAGGAGTAGAGGAAAATGGTGAGAGCATGTCAACAAACTTCCGTCCTTAGATTAAGTTGAGATGCGATCGGGATGCAAAAGGACGTACCATTTTCCCTCCAAATGTTGACTTCGAGTTCGTGTCAATGGAGGAAGAAGAGGCAAAGGTAGAGGAGACTGAAGTAGGAGCGGGAGGAGCTGAAGTGGATGAAAGTCAGCCATCTCTGCAAGTGGAAGTCCATCTAGTTCCTTCTGATGATGAACAGCCACCTCTTCCAGCCGAGTAACAGCCAACTCAGCCACCTCCTCTAACAAAGGAATAAAAAATTCTTGTTTTTTGATTTTTCTTTTCTAATATCGTTGGAACAATTGAATAAATTGTAATTTTATTATTTGTTTTGGAATGAAAAATTTTGTATTTATAATTATGTGTAATACTTGATTTACATTTTGGTTGTTTTATATTAATATAAGAACTGAGATAAGGTAAATTACTTCGAATATGACTTGAGGGGAAGTAAGTCATTTCAGAGATGAATTAAAAAGAAGTCAATCACTTCAGAGATGAACTGAAAAGAAGTAAATCACTTCGTATGTGAAGTGGCATTCATTAATAAAAGTGAAGTTCAAGGAATAAATTCTAACAAATTGACCTCAAATATACAGAATAAGAGATAAAATGAATCTCAACAATCAAGAAGTAATAAGTATAAGGGAGAATAAGACATAGATCACTTGAAAGAAGTTTATTAGGGGTAAAATTTCTTCAAGTTATTAATATTCCAGACTCTAGGAACTCTCTTCCCTTCCGCATCTTGGAGGACATAGCCACGAGGATGTGGCACTTCGGCCACTGTATAAGGGCCTTCCTAGTTTGGGGCCAATTTGTCAAAACGAGTTTCAAACCCTATTAGGCCAGCCTTTTTGAGAACAAGGTCTCCTACTCTGAATGTTTGAGGGCAGACTCGTTTGTTGTAGAAGTTGGCTAATTTCTACTTATATACAAGAGTTCAAAGCCGTGATTCTTCTCTGACTTTAGCAAGCAGATTAAGGTTTTCCCGAAGTAGTTGTCCATTTCGCCCTTCATCGAAATGGGTGACCCAGAGGCTTGTGACTCTTATTTCAATAGGAATAACTGCTTCGATACCAAAGGCCAGGTGGTAAGGTGTTTCACCTATTTCATGAAATTATAGTCTTTAGAATATGCTTTACATATTATGCATATTTGCTCTAGGGTATAGCCGCAGGTGAGAAAATAAAAGTCGAATGAAAGTATCTTGGGTTGGAAATAGTACTTGTGGCAGTTCGGCTCATAGTTCTATATGCCCAAAGAACATTGTTGAGCTCGTCTGCCCACTTGGCCTTGTGCTGTTCCAACCTTGGCTTTATTCCTTCTAAGATAGCTTTATTAACAGATTCTACCATACCATTGGACTCTGGATGATAAACCGAGGTGAATTGTAGTTTGATCCCATAACTGGGGTAGAAATCTTGAAAGGAGGAGCAGTTAAACTAACTACCATTGTCGGCCACAATCTAGTTCGGAATCCCATATCTGTAGATAATTGAGCCAAAAACAAAGTCTTCGACCTTTCTGGAAGTAAGATTGGATAATAGCCGAGCTTCAACCCATTTCGTAAAATAATCAACTCCAACAATCAGATGGGTTACACCTTTAACCCCTTTCATGAATGGGCCCAAAAGATCAAGTCCCCATTGAGCAAATGGCCACGGTGCTACCAAGTTCCTGAGCACTTCTGCTGGTTGGTGAGTCAAATGTGCGAAGAATTGGTATTTCGGGCATCTCTGAACAAAGTGAATAGCATCTTTATACATATTCGGCCAGTAATATCCCTACCTGAGGACTTTGTGAGCCAGGGTTCTAGCACCAATGTGGCTCCCACAGACACCTTCATGCACTTCCCGAAGTGTGTACTCAACTTTATAGGGATTCAAGCACCGTAGAAGAGGGAGTGAGAAAGATCTTTTATAGAGAACCCCATCGACGAGTGTATATCGAGACACTTTCTTCTTCAACCTCATTGCTTCTTGCTTGTCTTTAGGTCTTGTCCCGTCTTCTAAAAATGAGATAATTGGATTAGTCCAGCTCTATGTATCCGGGTCTGCGTTGATCTCCATCATTCGTGGCTTCATGAATCTTAGTTAATCTAAAACTTCCACGAAAACTGATCTGGAGCTTAAAGAGCTATCAGAGGCAAACTTAGAAAGTGAATATGCCTGTTCATTCTCAGTTCGGGGAATTTTATTTAGACAAAATTTCTAGAATTTTCACTTTAGGTCGGCCACCAGGGCTACATATGTCATCATCACAGGATCAACAACTTTGCAGATTGAGTTGACTTGATTAACCACAAGATGCGAGTCACTGTATACTTCTATCGCCATGACTTTCAGCTCCAATGCTAGTTGCAAACCAAGTAGCAGAGCTCCATACTCAGCCATGTTGTTTGTTGCATCGAAGTTAACTTTCAGAGCATGCTCACTTTGGTGTCTATCTGGGCCAATTAAGAAAACACCAGCTCCTGCACCCTTGCTACCAGATGCTCCATCAACATATAAGGTCCAGTCGCTGGGCTCAGGGTTAGGGATTGAGTGACATGGGGTGCATTCCACAATAAAATCTGCCAATGCTTAAGCTTGGATCACAGATCTCTACTAAAATATTATCTCTGCTGAAATGTTATCTCGAATTCTCCCAGTTCTATTGCCCACTTAATTAACCTTTCGGAACACTTTGGCTTTTGAAGGATCTGTTGAAGAGGTTGGTCTGTGAGGATTATGATTGGATGTGACTGGAAATACGGTCTAAATTTTGTGGCTGAAGTGACAACTCCTAGTGCTGTTTTCTCAATAGTAAGGTACCTCAGTTCTGCTCTGTGCAACACGCTGTTGATATAATAAATTGGTTGTTGGTGTTTGCCTTCTTCTCTCACCAAAACTGAACTAATTGCTTCGTCTGAAATACCGAGGTACAAATAGAGAATTTCTCCATCCATAGCCTTAGTCAGTAGGGGTGGTGAGCTAAGATAAGACTTCAGCTCATCGAATGCAGCTTGGCATTCTTGGTTCCATTCAAACTTCTGTTTGCTAGATTCGTCCTTCTGGGCTGCTGACCTCATGATCTTGAAGAATGGCAGGCACTTATCTGCCGACTTCGATATGAATCTACGAAGAGCTACCACCCTTCTAGTTAATCTCTGTATATCTTTCACTGACTTTGGCAGTTCCATCTTGGCAATTACTTTGATCTTTTCTGGGTTGATCTCAATCCCTCTTTGGGAAACCATGAAGCCCAGAAATTTCCCAAACTCCACACCAAAGATACCAGAAATTTCCCAAACTCCACACCGAAGATACATTTGGTTGGGTTTAACCGCATTCTGTTCTTTCTGAGGTTGTTGAAAGTTTCAACGAGATCAGCTAAATGGTCTTCTACTTTCAGGCTCTTTACCACAATGTCATCAACATAAACTTCTAGATTCCTGCCGATCTTAGCTCGGAAGATGATGATCACCATTTTCTGGTAAGTAGCACTTGCGTTCTTTAAGCCAAATGACATCATGACATACCAATAAATTTCGTCACCAGCATAGAACGAGGTTTTCTCTTCATCTTCCAGAGCCATCGGCATCTGGTGATAACCAAAATATGCATCCAAGAGACTTAATCTATCATTTCTAGAAGCCGCTTCAACCAATTTGTCAATGCTTGGCATCGGATAGCAGTCCTTGGGGCAAGCTTGGTTGAGATTTGTGTAGTCGATGCACATTCGCCATTTACCATTTGCCTTTTTAACCAACACTGGGCTAGCCACCCATTCGCAGTAATCAACTCTTTTGACAAAACCAGCTTGTAAGAGCTTCTCTACCTCTTCTTTTATAACCTAAAGCCTCTCCCCCCTAAAGAGACGTCATTTCTGGGCTATTGGTTTCTTCAATGTATTGGTGCTGAGCTTATGCTGGGGTACCGAGGTTGGAATTCCTGGCATGTCTACCGAAGTCCAAGCAAAGACATCGTTGTTAGCTTGGAGAAAAGCTATTAGCTCTGCTTTTTCCTTCAAGCTCAACCGAGTTCCAATTTGTGTCTTTCTACTTAGACCTCAGTCGTCAATATGCACTTCCTCGACATCCTCGACTAGAGTAGCTCTGGTGATGAAAGCATGAAAATGTATAGCTAAAGTGTGCTTAAACATTGACATTTGTGGAATTATGGGTTTAAGAGTTTTATTTTTCTATAGGTAATTTCATAAGTGTTCATTTTATTCATGTTGTGCAAATTTTATGGTGATTGAAGGTTGATGTTAAATGGAGAAGAATTAGAAAAAGGACTTAAATGCAAGCAGCAAATTGCAAAGATCAAAAATATGATGATCAACTCGCGTGGAATCCATGAGTCAGGGACCAAGACTGTTATTCTGCCATTAACCAAAATTGCACAAAAGGCCAAAAACCTAACACGGAGGATGCAGTTGACGCTCTGCTCAAAGTGCCGACACCTTGTAAAGAGTATCAACCCCTTGTGTAATAATTTAGCCAAATCATATCTGTCCTAATTATTGTGATGTGGGCCCCACAGCCATTCTAATTAGGGTTTTTAGGATTCTATAAATACCCATCCAAGTTATTTTAGAGGAGGTTCAACGGCTGGAGAGGCTGCTACCAGACTTCTATTTTCTTCTTCAAGACTAGAGAATTATGTCAAAGGGCAACTAAACTTTCAACAAGAGTAGGGAGGATCTTGATTGAGGAATTTGACTTGTTATTTTATTTTGATTCATTCATAGATTTTATTGTTTAATTTTATTTTTGGGAGATTATTAATTATTTTCAGATCTAAAAACCTTGAAAATTATATTTATCAAATTTCATATAAGATTAGTCATGCTCTTTTATGTGTGATTTGTTAGGATATAATTGATTGTTACATTTGTTTTGCGAGTTGATCCTTTACTGCAGTATTGTCGATTAGATATATTGTCGCTCTTGGATAACTCGTAATAATAAATCAGTTTGTTTTGCATTGAAATTAATTTCTTTCAAAATAAATACATTAGTTATTATTATTGGTCTTCATAGTTCAATCGTCCAATTGTTTGTTTGGGATGTGAAACATGCAATTGAGTGATAAATAGGAATCAAAATTTATAATAGTTAAATAAATCAATTAAGTGAACCCTGAAGTCTTGTTCATCATAATATTGTTTTCAATCTTTTATAATTATCATCTTTTATTTAAATATTTTTATTCTTAATTTTAGAATTCATCTTTTAATTTAATTTCTCATTGTGACAACTCTTTTTGTTGGTCTAATATAGCTTCCCTATGGATTCGACACCTAAAGCTACGCTACAACAACCGCTTAGCCAAAGGGTATTAATTTTGAGGCAAGACATCATCTGGTTTCATCCTCTAGTCGGTTGTCTAC